ATTAATTAGTGTTTTCACTGATAACACTAATTAATTCATATTTGATCTTGATGGTGAAACTAAAGGCGTTTAACACTGAACACCTAACATGAATGCAGCTTCTGAGAGCTAGCTAACTGTGTTCTGCTGCTGCTCACCGTCCTTCTACTTGCTTCTGTTCAATTAACTTTTTCTACTTCTCCTTCTTTTCTTTTCTTTTCTTTTCTTTTCTTTTCTGGAAGCCAGATTTCCCTTTCTTGGGAAAAGACATGACTGACTCTCCTGCCTCCAGCTCTGGCTGTCGGCATCTGCGATGTCTCATAGCTGTACATGCGGCCGTGCAGCCCCTGGCCGCTGGTGTGGACTAAACCACTTTGCACATTTTTAAGGGGTGATAGATGCCTCAGAGGTTATTCAGTTATTATTTTTAAGGCGAAATTTTGTTTCTTAACCTCTTTATCCAGGTAAAGGGAAGTTTATTAAGACATTAAGTAAGTTGGGGGGAAAAACAACAACAATAAAACATTTTTATTCAAAGCTGTCTCAGGGCCCCTCCCTGCAGTGGGGCCCTGGGTAAACGGTACCCTTCCCCCCCCACCCCCCCCCCCCCCACCCCCCCCCCCCCCCAGTCCGACGCCCCTGCATCAGCAAACAAAGACCAGCATTAACAGACGGACCTCTGAACTGTTGATGACCGGAGAAGCTAGTGGCTGCTGCTGTTAGCCACAATGACAATTTCACTGAATTAAGCAGCTTGTTGAATTAATTTCTTCTAAATAGAAAATATTCTTCACATCACACATGGTGTGATGCAGAAGAAGGAAGAACGATCTAATGTGATGTAGACATACAGTACAGGCCAAAAGTGTGGGCAGACCTTCTCATTCAGTGTGTTTTCTTTAATTTCTGACCAGTTACATTGGTAGATTCTCACTGAAGGCATCAAAATTATATATGAACACATGTGAAGTTATGTGCTTAACCAAAAATAACTTAAACATGTTTTATAATCTGTTTTCTTCAAAAAGCCGCCCTTTGCTCTGATTACTGCTTTGCACACTCTCGGCATTATCTTGATGACTTTCAGGAGGTAGTCACCTGACATGGTTTTCTAACAGTCTTGAAGGAGTTCCCAGATGTGTTGGGCACCTTAACCCTCTGTAAATGTCATGGTTGTGAAAATAGAGAAAACACACTGAATGAGACGGTGTGTCCAAACTTTTGGCCTGTGCTGTATTTAATAATGTTTAAAGAATCTTTCTTTTAAGCACTTTCATTTGTTTACTTGCTTTTTCCCGCCTGGTTTGGACTAGTTATCAGCACTTGGACAGGCAAACGAAGTAGGAAACAACACTCATGGTGTTGTCGTGATAACACTTTACAACGAGGGTCTCATTAGCATTACTTAGTGCGTTATTTAGCATTAATACACAAATCGTCCCCCTAATATCATTACAGATATTGTTATTAATTGTGCTTAAGGATAGGACAAAGGGCCTTGGGGGTCTGCTTAGTAATGCATTATATAATATGGTTAAAGAGTTGTTGATACTTTATTTATTAGTTTATTAATGCTTAAAGATGTGGATCACTTGTTTAATTACATCTGTAGTGGACTCAGCGTAGGAATACATGCCTTGTAAGTCTTGCTCTGGGTACAAAAAGCCCTGGTGCTCCTGATTCAGGATCTAACAGATGGACAGGTCAGAGGAGGGCTTCTGATGACAGGATGTGGACTCTTATTTCCTGATATTTGGACATCTTACCTCTGATTGGCTAAGAGCAACTCTACCACTTGCTCTATTTACTCTGTAACATTGATGTTTTACCTCCACCAATAACACAAGCCTGGAGGAGTTCTGCTGTGTGGTGGAGTTGCTAATGCTAACAGTTAGCTTCTACTAGACCAAGACGTTCTCTGCTGTTTCCTGAATGCTAAACCACCAACAGCCTTCGCCGTCGTGAGTCAAGATGGGTGAGTCCATAAGTGACAGTGTGACGTAGATCTGTCAGACTTTTGAATTCCTAGAGTTTCATCGTCTATTTTCTATCAGAAGCTAATGCAGAAGATAAGTGTAGGAGACCATTTTCATGTTCAGCCTGCATGAAAAACTCGGGAGTGACTGGTTAATAATGATTAAAAAGTGGGATTTTAGTGACCACACCTTTAAATACAGAAGAGGTGTTTCTTTGTAGGCAGCATTTTTTTATTGTAAATCATCATTCCTTTGATGTTCTTCTGGTTCATGACTACCTCAGAACCTGTGAGTCCTCACAGAGAACGTTGTGTTGGTTCATCTCTGAACCGTGATTGTGATGCTAACTGCTTGGTGAAAGAACATGACACCCAGGGTGACACCGGGATTACTGGCTCTATATTTAGGCTTTATATACAGGAATATTGGCAGGGCATCTCTGTACACGTGACACACACACACACACACACACACACACACACACACACACACTCACAGCGATACAGTGATAATAACACACATCTCTAGCACAGAATACATTTACAGGGGCGGGCTCTAGAGCAAACACTGGCTGAGATACAGAAGGGAATGTCTGAACTACGACTTCCTCTGGAATTTTTCTTGCAACAGTTATTACTGTCATAATATGACAAAAAACAGACAATCAAAAAGATAGACACAAAGTATAAAATAATTTAAGTTCCTCCTAGAACACGTTATGGATATGCAGTGAGAGATCTGTACAAAGCGGGCGGCCACCGGATCTCCTCCGGGTGTTGGGATTCGTCACCGACGGACGTGACAGATAAAAGACGAAAGCGGACGTCATGCAGCAACAAAACCCACACGAGGAAACACATCTTCCTTGAAGTTCTGCCTCCCAAGTGGCAACATGATGTCAAGACGACAAGCCTGGTAACAAAGCAGTCCTCTCCTCTCGCTGGGCCATTCACGGCGCACCACAGTGAAATGTAAACATAAATATACGGTTGATGTCTCTCTCTACAGACAGTTCAGTCACTGCTACAGGCCCAACAGCTGCACGAGTAGTCAGTCTGTGTACACTTCTTAGTAGAATATCACTTAGTGTTAAATAAACTTATTTAAATATATATATTTATATAATAAATTTATTCTTTGCAAAGTCATTTAGCAGTATTTCCTTGTTTTCACCAGTTTGCTCTGGTATTTCACTGAGTGGCCACTGTGTCCCACCACATAAACGTCCAGCAGATAGGTCTTGCCCGCTTCCAGACCTGTGATGATTTCTGTAGTCACAGCTTTCTGCAGGTTCGGGCTGTGGAAGTACTTGCACAGGACTTTTTCTGACTTCCTGCGGGTCTCTGGGCCCAGGCACATTGATTTTGCTCCCTGCGTCGCTGCTCTTCGCCGTAATTCTCAGCAACCTCCTTACGGTAAATGCAAAATTTGTTCCGGTCCTGCGTGCCCAGCCAGGCCACTGTGGCGGAGGAGGCAGGTGCGCAGTTTGTCGAAGGCCTTGATCCGAGTGTCCTCCGGAAGAGATGGGAAAGGCTGTTTGCTGCTGGGCCGTGTGTGGCGAGCACCTTCAGCGTGGAGGCCCCTTTCCGGCTCCCTCTTAGGCGGATCTGGTACTTGGCTTTTGGCTTTCCTCGCAGCTGGAACTGCCGTACCCCTTCCACATTTTGGGAGAGCAGCAACTTGCCATCTCGCCTGACCTGCACCTGCACGGCATCCAGACACGAGGTGGACGAACAGAGTGACCCTCTGGTGGGAGGACACGGGGGCGAAACGGAGGAACTTTGTGCCCTTTCTTTTGATGAACACATCCAATACTTTGCCGTCCTTCAGCTCCTGCGTCTTCTGACGTGCTTCCTCTTTGGTGCGAGCAAAGGTTCCACGTACGCCGTGCTGGTGTTGGTGGCAGAATTCACGGCAAAACGTCAAAGTAGTACTGCGTGTCTGGTTTAAGGTCTGACACGGTGAAAATGTTTTTGTTTCCAATGCATAACTTCTGAGTGTCTGATGTTTTGGGTTTGGCTGTGTACGCGCGTGAGATCTTTGTTACTCATAAGGCCATCTGTCCTTGCCAAAACCATTGTCAGATGGAACAAACCCAAAATGCACAAAGTCAAATGGGCTAAAGTCTCTGCCGGGCTTTGGAGCCATCATGGAAGGCATCGTCGACGCTGATTTTAGCCTCAGCCGCACACATGCTTTTGAAATTGTGCTCCTTGTTGATCACACGCAGTACTGAACAGGCTGCCCCATCAGGAAGCCTTGTGGGCGTCGGCTTCCAGGCCAACGTGACAGTGGTGCGGCCCAGTGCAGTCACATCCACACGGGGGTCGTAGGGCAGCTCTGGATACGGTTGGTCAGACTCTGGAGTTGTGGTGGTGTACGCCTTGAAGTTGCTGTCCTTCTCAGTGGACAGCAGCTCCAGCTGATAGAGACCAGAGGGGTGTGCTGGTTGCCACGTAGGACTCCACGTCGTTACCCTTGTAGGTGAAGAGCTCCGTGCCCTCGTCTATGGTCACCTGCTGTTCTTCTGCTGGTCAAGAGGTTCAGGCTCTCCTGGGAAGAAAAGCAAACACACAACATGAGGTTCCCTGCAGGACCAGCCTCTGTACCGACACCGCAAATCTCCTCGTGCAACATGTCGTCGCGGCTTTTAAATATTTATTCTCTTTGTCTCCGGTGAGGGAAGATCCGCCCACACCAAATGTGTCTGATCTAATAGGATTGCAATCAACCTAACAGACGATGAGTCCTTTCACGTCACGGCAGTGTTTACACTCCAAACATCCCCAAAGATCACAGGCCGCCATTCACTTGGCAGCGTCGGGGACGCTGTGCTACAGAGAGGCGCCTTGTGTGTGAGAAACAGTCAGAACTCTGACTCGAAACCATAATATTATGTTTGTCAACCAGAAAGTGTGCTCAGCGTACTAAAAGTTAACGCGCAAGGATCTACTCCCACTGGAGACATCTAGAAACAGCAGCCAGAAGTTCAAAGGTCAGATTTAACCCCACCGACACGCCGTGTGCCGCCGGACTTCTACCTCATCCTGACTCTTTCAGCTCAGGAGGAATTATTTTCTCTTGAGGCAAGGCTCAAGTCACCTCCACAGAGCGAGCACCCGATAAATCATTTTGGAATATTTGATCTGTGCACACACACACACACACACACACACACACACACACACACACACACACACACACACACACACACACAGGTGCACATGCATTGACATTCAAATATATGCTTGAGTCACTCTTGTAAACCACTACTTCAGTCAGATTTGTGCGTTGAAAGGACGACCTCCGTACGGAGAAAGTTTTAACGTCGGGCAACAAAAGAGAACGAAAGTAAAGAGTGAGGAGGAAGGAGGACAGGCGCCACACAGGACATCAGGATTTACCTGAAGCAAAGCTAGGCAGCTTAAGTAAAGGGATGTATTGGCTCTGATTCAGCGGCTGGACCAGACTACTGCCCTTTTAGACATGATAGATGTCCGCTTGTGTCGAGCCAGGCCTCAGCAGTGGTCAGACCAGACGCTGTGAGAGTGACTTAATTAAAACCTCACTAAAACACTGCAGGGTAATTGTGAGTGTAGGAGGAGGGTGGGGATAGCGATATTTCCACATAAGGTGTCATTAACCTCTTCCACAGCTGCCTGGTGTCACTCATACCTGATCCCTCTCCACTGGACTCCTCGGGCAGCTCCTGCAGGGTGAGTCTCCACTCCAGAGGAGCATCACAGGGTGTCACTGTCACAGACAGGGGTGTGTTGTCTTCCTCCACCACAAAGTAGTACCTGTGGAAAATAACAGGCTCAACGTGAGCGCTGGTCTGATCCCAGCAGCATGCGGACTGAGACAGGAGCACGCTTAATATGATCTTCCTTGTTCCCTCTCACTGTCAGCCGACCGACTTTCTCATCTATTATTCACCATTTGCACCAGGTTGTGTTACAGAGAAGCATTTGATCTGGTCCTGTATTTACAGGAAGAAGCCTGTTCATGTCTTCTCAGTGTTTTTATGAATAAGTCACCTGCATGCAGTGACATTTCATATGTTTTTACAGTTTAGATGAAATGTAGATGTTTTAATTGCAGTTTTATGTCATTTATTCAGTGATTTATTCAGAGCTCTTACCTTTTTGGCGTGTCTCTGAAGAGGTAACCGCTGATCTCAGCTCCGTCTGGTATGACGGAAGAGTCGTGGAACAACGATTTGTCCCTGATCTGCATCTGAAAGAGCCCTTCATCCCTCGTAGGCAGCTTCTGGGCCAAAGAGCCCAAACCCAACAGCATCAGCACCAAGCTGCAGCATCTACACTGCCTCATTCTGAAACACACAAGGCCTCCAGCTCAGTTTAAATATAAACATTGTGTACAGAAGAGCTAAGGGCGACGGTGGCAGAGGAGTTAATCGGACACTTGAAGGTTTGAGCCCCATCTGTTGCAGACGTTGTGCCCTTGTGCAAGACACTTGACCTGCCTTGCCTGCTGCTGGTGGTGGGGGGACCGGCGGCACCAGTGCTCAGCAGCTTTGCCTCTGTCAGTGCGCCCCAGGGCAGCTGTGGCTACATTGTAGCTCATCACCATAAACGTGTGTGTGTGTGTGGGGGGGGGGGGGGGGGGGGGGCTGGAGAACCCTAGAAGGTGCCATACCAAGTCCAGCTGATTTAGGTTTTTATAGTTTTGTCCCTAAGTTAAAGAGACCAGGAACAACAACGAATCCGTTACTAAAACATAAAGTTCCAATAAATGAACCGAGCTGATTGTGGCGTTTAAATGAGTCATTGCTTCAGAATTTGAATGTTTACTCGTTTCAGCAAAAGAAAGCTTTCCAGGCAGATAATTCTTGTAGAGAAGGATTAGATGTAATGCTGCTGCTGCTGCTGCTGCTGCTGCTGCTGCTGCTGCTGCTGCTGCTGCTGCTGCTGCTGCTGCTGCTGCTGAGAAAGTTGATGCAAAATTTGAAATCCATGAATGTTCCTCTGAAAGCAAGCAGTTTCCTGAGATTTATTTATTTATTTTGACATTTTGACCAGTCTTATTGAAGGTCAAACTACGATATTATAAGAAAAATGTGTTGCTAAAGCAAATAAAAACGGTATAATTTACTGGTGCAGCAAAACCGAGCAGACATTGGTAAGAGTAGTTTGTAAATGGCACAATATTAGGAAAAATAAAATGTGCATTTCTGCCAGTGAGTTTTGATCGAGTTGCCGTGTGTGTTGGAACAGCTGAGTGCTTCCACACACACACAGCTTTGTTTCACCCAGCAACGTTTAACAGTGGTGTCTATAAACTGGCTGAAGGATTAACTACGACTCTCACACTGTTTCATCTTCTTTAAACAAAAGTTAAATGTGAAATAAATGTTTAGAATAGACTTTATTGTAATCGCTCATGGCAATGAAACTACAGTTGGTCCGCCATCAACGGTGCACAAGACAGTAAATGACAATAAATGTCAAAAACCATAAAGGACTAAAAACAATTAAAAAACCACTTTTAAAGGCCTCCCAAAATGAATTTACAACACTTTGAGACAAATGTAAACATGTTCTGGTGTTTGACTTGCAAAGGGCGCAGGCATGGTGAAAAGAAACATGCTTAGATGTGATTATTTCACAGCTGGGGGGTTTCTGAGGAGAAATTTGAGGAATCATGAATATTGTGTCAGTTTCTGATCATTTAAGTGTCCTTATAAGGGAAGTAATCAATATTATACCACGCTAATCCCGTCCTTACTCCAGCCCTTCGTGTGTCTGCGTGAAGCTGGGTTATGCTAAGCTAACTGCTTGTTGTGGTTTGACATGCAGCGTCAGAGAGCTGCTGCTTGAAGCCAGATTAGCATCCGTTCATTTGGGTCCAAAAAGCCAGTTTAACCATTAAAGTTCTGAATCAGGTCTCATCTCTTCTTTCATTTCAGACATGCTAAACAATCCCTGACCTCTTTGAAGCCACAGCGATTTGGTCCTTGCTTTCCACACGTTGTGTGAAAATGTTTCTGCGTGTTCCCACCATGCAGGCTTTGCTTTTAGTTTCAAACTTTGAACCATTTAAGAAAAGTCTGGTGATGAGAGATCATGACGTTAGGCAGGAGGGTGAAGGAGGACCACCTGACCACAGAAAGGAAGGATGGATCAGAGTGTGTGGGTGGTGAGACATCACCCAACACCCCGGGAACTACACTCCAGCTGTTCACAAAGCCATCGACATGAAAAACCTCCCAAACCCATGTCATTAAAGTTTTATTGACTGTGATATAAAAATGTTGGAGGTGCAGTTGACAGCTGGAACTGCGCTGAGGTCGAGGTGCAGCTGACCCTGGATGAGAGAGCCTCTCACGTACCCCGTCTATTGATTTTGCCCCATTGATTGCAGTTGATGGGAAAGCCAAACCCCTGGTGATTTCATCAGAGTAATGATGGCAGATTAGCCAGATACTTTACTGCCATTTACTGCAAGAGAGATGGTGTCCTTCATATGACCCCACTCCCTTTTTGCTCGTCTACCCCGTTCGTCTCTGACTGTAGAGTTTTCATCAAGCCAATAATCCCTTTCACACTTTTTCACACACATCCTTCCTCTGACATCATCCTCTCCTGTACTCTCTCCCCAAACGGGGTCAGATGGGTAAAGTGAGGTCTCACTGTAATGTGTGTGTGTGTGTGGGGGGGGGGGGTGCTCTGCTGCAAATGTGGGTTTATTTCTCCATTATGAGCTTTACAACACACACAAGCTGAGGGGAAATCCCTTGACAGCGCCTGTCAGTGTCTGGGTCTGGGCTTGGCCTTCTGTCGTACCACCAGACATCACAGAACAGAGGAGAAGCCGCCTAAGTGGCACTTTGAGGTTTTGACTCACACAGAGAGCTAGATCCTTATCGTCTCAGCTCGTCTCATTCCACTTCAAAAAGACGTGTCAGTCAGAACAAAGACATGTCTATTAAACCTCAGGGCAGCGCTGAGGTGGTAGCGGCCCAAAACATCCCCAAACACCACACAGGATCTCCGAAAGCCCTCCAAACCAGCTCTTCTCTCATACGAGTGTGTTATCACAACATTATAGGTGCCTTCAATGTGCTCCTCACGTGTGACACGTCTCACACATCTGAGCGTCTGAGCAGCCGTGTCAGGGTCACCACTGCTGCGCGGTGGCGTCAGAGTCGCCGCGCTGGAGCAGCAGCCTCCATATCTGTGCTGTCACACGGTTCACCTACCAAAATAACCATCAACACAACTGCATCTGGAAGAAATCAAAGCTCAAGCTTAATCACCACGGGGAAGAGAGATTCCAGTTTGAAGAACAGATAATTTTAAGGCAAAGCAACCCACATGGGTGTCAACTTTGTTTTGCTTTTGCTTTTAATCTGTTGGTGGGTTTTCTCGTACGTATTTATAGCTTTTGTTTTGCTTTTAGTGGGAAAAACTGATCATTTGGGGTGGAAAACATCTTGTATGTTCTAATTGGTGGGCCCTGGAACCCAGAAGGCCGTGTAATTGGATTAGAAAGGACAAATGCAGCACTTTTAGCCATATTTTTCATTCCCATGGCCGTCTTTGAGAGATCTAAAGTAACAGAGAGGGGGGAAACTAAACAATGACCCCATTACATCCTTTCGGTGAGGAAAAACACCACCACTAAAAAAGGACATCTTGTTTTAAGAGTTCCGACTTGCTTTGATCTGGGCTCGTGACGAGCAAACACAACGTCCAGACGGACGCTGTTGCGTTCAGCAAACAAGAAAAAGAGCAACTCAACAGTTTCAGCCCACGGATGACTTAGAGCATGTGTGTGAGTGTTTCCTGCAAGAACAGACTGATTGAGAGTGTGCTGTTGGGGTCTCGAACGCATCCCTTCCCCTGATACAAGCTGGTTTCCACCAAACTCCCCTTTCTCAAACTGGCCTCCTTCTCCTTCCCTCCAGCTCCTTGTCAGGATGGATAAGTCTTCTGCCTGCTGCCACATGGAGCTCATTAACGAAACGGGAGGGAATAAAAGACAGTTTAATTTCAACACAAATAAAGGGAATTTCGGATTCCACCCAACAAGACGCCTGGCGCAGACTCGCAGGACATGAAGCCTCTGTTTTCCTAAAGGGAGGTCTGGGGGCAGATTTATGGTGGGTAGAGCTTCGTCAGCGCTGTCACTTCAGGGCCAGTGTGGGGATTGGAGTGAGTGGAGCATGTGGTGGTGGTGAGGGGACCAGGAGCCAAGCATACACAGGACCTGGACCTGTTCTGAGACACGCCAAACCCAATCAGGACTGGGATCTTTTTTGGAGAGCTTATTAATGATTTGGTAGAGACCGCTGTGAGGGCTCCCATCCAACAATGGAGACTTTAATCTTGTGTGTGTGTGTGTGTGTGTGTGTGTGTGTGTGTGTGTGTGTGTGTGTGTGTGTGTGTGTGTGTGTGTGTGTGTGTGTGTGTGTGTGTGTGTGTGTGTGTGTGTGTGTGTGTGAGTGTGTTTAAATCACTGCTAAGGAGCTGTCACCTCGCCATCCACATCTTTCAGTTTCTGCATAATCAGAATCAGTAAGGTTGGCACCAGCTTCCTGGAGAGGAGAGCCCAGTTTCCTTCACCACCACCCTCCTCCTCCTCTGGACCCCCAGTCCCCATCTCTGTGTGGGTCTAGCAGGGCAGCCTTTCTGTCTGAAAAGCCTCCGGATAGGATTGAGGATGGGAGTGGCCGTGGCTCTGACTGATGTGCTGGCATTGTGACTGGGGAGGGTGATTGTGGATTACAAGACAAAATGCCCATCACCCCAAGTCACCACACACACACACACACACACACACACACGCACGCACGCACGCACGCACGCACGGGCTGCATCGTGGGAAATGAGTGGAACACCCTCCATGCTGTTTTTGCTCAGGAGAGAAGAGCACAACAGTGGGTCCGTCTGGGGGCGCACAATGAGGGGCTTAGGAGGCGTGTGCGCGCTCGGCTGGGGCTGAAAGAGCGCATGGGACATAATGCATATTTAAACACAGGAAATGGAAACTTTTAATCTCCAACCAGCGACTCTTGATGTGAGACACTAAGTTGAGCAGCGCGGAGGAGACGGTACAAACCTGTCACCTCTCAAACCGCTGGCGGAATGCTTTCAGTCGGAGAGTGTTCATATGCTAATCACGGTTTAGTTACGGTGTGCGACGCAGACCTTCCCACTTCTCCCCGTTTTCATGATTAATTCGCCAGAGAAAGGAAGTGGTTCTTCAAAAGTTTATTCCAAATCCAAATCACGGGGAAACCCGGAATTACTTACTTGAAATAGCTGCTGTCTTCAGACATCAATATAAAATAACGCTTCACTCCAAATTGGCTCACAGGTGCGTAAAAACGTGGCAGCTATTTTAAAATGAGCAATCTGTGAGAAAAACGTTTTTTATTTTGCAGTAAAAGTTGTGAACGAGTCAACTAGAAAAACTTTTACTGGGTGCTGCATGTGTCACCCCTGGGAGCATGGGAACCGTCCGTCCGTCCGTCCGTCCGGGAGGGAGGGAGGCACAAAGGCAGCAGGAAGGTTCGGCGCAGCCAAAACCAGGATAGGCTCCAATTAAAACAGCCTGCGAGCCGGGGCTTGATTGAAGTCTGATTGAAACTTTTAACTCCCCGGAGTTAAATAAACCACAGAACCTCCTCCAGCCCGCGCTGTCTCTCTCTGGCAGACGGTTCAAAGGCACTTGGTGACGAGTCCGGTCCGCGCTCGTCTCATCAGAGCTCTTTTTAAATAAAGCTTCAGAAAAATAGTATTTATGATGCTTAAGTAAGTGTGTATATTACATTTATGCGTCAAGCGCAAAAACAAAATCCTGCTAATTTAGACCAAATGACGAAAGTCTTACCTCTCAGAATGGGAAGTCTTCTAGGAGATGGTGCTTCTTTAAAAAACTCCTTCGGGTTTATAGATAGTAATGAAAACTACAGCAACTGCACGGAAAACCCAAAAGTTGTCCTCTCCGGTGCGCGGTAGTTCCCTACAGGTTTACGCGTGATGTTTGCGCCTGCATCGATCGGATTAAGCGACCGCTCTGATGCCTGTTTGGAGTTTTCTTGCGGATTTAACAAGTCTCTAGTGGGCAGGAGTGTGTGTCTGGGAGGGAGGGAGGGAGGGAGGGAGAGAGAGAGAGAGAGAGAGAGAGAGAGAGAGAGAGAGAGAGAGAGAGAGAGAGAGAGAGAGAGAGAGAGAGAGAGAGAGAGAGAGAGAGAGAGAGAGAGAGAGAGAGAGAGAGAGAGAGAGAGAGAGAGAGGGAGAGAGAGAGAGAGAGAGAGAGAGAGAGAGAGAGCGTCCCTCCCCTGCCGTGCCGCTGCTATTGAAGCCTCCTCTGGATTGGAGGCAAAAACTGGTGCAAACTTCTCCGCCCTGCACTCTGCGCTCCTGGATCAGTCCTCTCCGAGGGCGCAACTACACAAAGAAGTGTGAGTTTTGCTCCTCTTGATCTGAAAGGAAAATTGTCCAAACCCAAGAATGTTCTCATAGGATCACAGTTCTCTTTTCTTTGTTTCCCTCAGAGAGAACGGGGATCCCCTCAGACTTTCTCCTCTGTGTTTACTCTGATGCTCCAGGAAATTAGTAGTTTGTGCAGTAGCACCTCACCAAGTCACGCAACCCTCCGGGCTAAGTGCGGGCAAGTTTTATCATGGGTCTTGATAGCTGTGGGTGTGCAGACACCGTCATAGTGAGACTTAAGCGATCAGCTGTGGAAAGTCCCGATGAGGACTGCTGCTGCAGCCTGGGGAAAGCAAACATTCATCTGAGATAAGACTGGCTCTGGATTGCTCCCCTCAACATTTATGACTTGATGGGTGTCCGGTTGGGAGGATCGAGTCATCTGAGATGTGAATGATGATGCTGTTGCTTCTTGTTTTTATATGAAGCAAGGCTGCAGGTTGCCGCTTCCTGCAGGATGTCATCTTAAACACCCGCTCCAGCTTTGCGTGATCAAAAAGGATAACACGGGTTAAATAACTGAGATAATTATGCATTTATCAAACAAACAGACGTTTACCTAAGAAAGAATGCACTCATCCACGCTATATTGAGTTTATTTGTCCTAGCACCAGTCTCACTCACAAACCCAGCAGTGAAATGAGCAGCATGTTAGTGCAACAGCGTCATCTAGTGTTAATATGAGTAAATATATATTCTATGTATATTTAAGTTCCTTTCAAAACCCAGATGCCTTCTCAGAGCATCAGAGTTTCATTGCATGATTAGTTGACACTCTCTTCTTTAACATTACATCCCTCTGTGAATAAGAAACATGTATTCTAGATAAACACACTCCCTTATGTACGCCTGGTGGTGTTCCAGAGGTCATGAAAGGACCTCTTGTACATCCAGCATCCTTCAGACTGAAACAGTGGCTGCGTTTGGATGTGCTATTAGCCACACCACCGAGCTGAGAAAACAAATCCACTCTGGGGACGTGCACACACACACACACACACACACACACACACACACACACACACACACACACACACACGACTCAGCTAGGCCAGAATGTATCCACACCAGGGAAAGTTTATGGTACCGATAGAGGAAGTTGGACAAAATAGGCCTCTTCTGCTCCAGATAAAGCTATTTTAACAGACATATGAAACATTTTGGGAATCAAATACATATTTTTATATTTCTACTGCATAAATTACATTTATGTAGTTTAAAGGCCAATCAGTCTTTGAAGGCATAGGCCTACACATGATTCCTGCTAGTTTCCATGGCAGAGTTTTAAATTAAGATCACAATAAGAAAAATTGGAGTAGAATCCTGTAAATAACAATAATAATAATTATACCACACATCACCAGTTATTTTGTGATCTGTTGCAATAAATATGAATTTGCATCAACTGAAGACTTTCTTTTGCCTTGAAATCTAGACGGGCAGTAGAGCTGAAGCAAAAGTATTTCGCTCTGCATGCACTGTAGGTATAGCCAAGCTCCATAGGAGCCTCGGCAGGTCAGACCACTCATGGGGCTGGAGGCAATCACAGTGCTCAATTTGGTGGGACAATCCCAGCATCCTATTGGCTTGGTGGGTGGGATGTGCCTCTGAGTGCCAAAACAAAGATGGCAACGGCTTGTTTTAAACAGCTGTGGCATCAACTGTGGACAGTTTAGACGTGGGCTTTTCTTTGAGTCAGAGCAGATAGGGGCAGAGATGGGAATTGTGGCATCAACTAGTCATCTCCACGTCGTGTTTTAGTTCTGCTCAGCAAATGAACCAGGTTCATTCACTGTGCTGATTGAAGTCACCTGGTTTGTTGCTGAGCTGAAAAAAAAAACACCGTGTGATTCAGCCTGTGTGTACTCTTTGGTGTCAAAATGTCAACCAGGAAAGAAAATGGTTTGACTGGATGACAATGTTCTCACACGGTTTGGTGAAGAGGCCACTCTCGGCTGCTAACACCACACATTTGACTTCAGAGGCTTTTAAAAACGATATGTTTGTCCATTAGCTCTGGTGGCCATCTTGAATCGAGTTGACAATGGTTGACATGTTTGGATTGCTACACTAGTGGGGACCTGTCATTGGCTTTAATTCGTTTTAGTGAAGTGTTATAATTAACCCTATTCATAACCAGTACTGGTCTAACCCTAACCCTAACTAACATTTCATTCACACAATTCCTCTAAAACCAAATATCAGGTTGTTTTTTATTTTAGGGATCAGTCAAATGTTCCTATGGCACCCTGAAAAAGTGTCCCCAAAATGTTACACACACACACACACACACACACAGACACGCGCACACACACACACACACACACACACACACACACACACACAGTTCAGTGAAAATGGGGTTGAAGAATCGACGTGTTTTCTTCATTATCACAGAATCACCTGCCAACATTCTTGTTATTAAATTAGAAATCATCATCTTCTAACACTAAACAACGCGGGTCTAAATGTCTTTTATGTGAATCCTCGTGGGACTGACTTCTCGGGTATCAGCTAGCATTCTGGACCAGACTTATTTTCCATCCTTGGTGTCACATTTCCAGCTAAACCCTCAGACTGGATGTGTGATGAAAACTATCGTTGGTGTTCATGACTGAAGGTACAGGACGGTATTTTGAGGCTGATCTGTTAGCAGCTTGATCCTGAACAGCTAAGTTTTTATACTCTGACCCCAATTAGTTTGCTTTGGGGGAGAAGAAGGTCTCTCGGTGTCAGCTCACAGCTGATCTCCTTACACCTCCCCAACAGCTCAGGTATCCATGGATGCTCGGCAGATGGGAAGTCTCTTATTGGTCTGAAATGTGGAGCCTGAGAGGCCAAGCGCCCTGAGCTCATCATTAACTCAGCAGAGCCCAGAGCCATCTCCAGACAAACAAGCACTCTGCAAACATCTCCCCCATCATTTCCCTCTTTTAGGGGGCGCAGGGAGGACAAACAATGTACAACCTCACTGAAGATGGAATGCATCCCTCCTTCTTTTCTAACAAATACACTCCTGAAAGGAAGATGTTTCGTGCTGGCTGAAGGTATCATCTCAGAAGAGAGAGTAGGAGGAGAGACAAAAGGTTACAGTTCAAGGGAAAGAATGAAGGAGGAATCCGAGCTTCGCTCCATCTGACCTTCAGCACAAACCTCCATCAGCTCCTAAGATAAAACCTGGGCAGCTTTGGACACGTTTGGTGTTGTTTGTGAGCTGCAGAGATCCATCATGTTCCAGAGATAAAACACGGAAAAGCAAACAGGCTTCAGGGATTTTTTTTATGAGTGGCTCTAAAAGTCAAGCCATCCTCCAAGTTACTCATTCACTCATCCTCTCCTCTTCCTCAAATGTTCCTTTAGAAAACTAAAAGCCACAACTGAATCCAGATGAAAGAGACCAGAAGTGAAGAGTGCATGCCGTGTCAGGGTCTGACTTCCTCTTCATTATTCAATAAGAGTGCTGAGGTTCATCCTATTATCCACCGAAGGAGTAGCTAGGCAGTGGTGCCTGGAACACTCGGGGGAGTCGGGAATAAACAAAAACCTCAACGTTCAGACTCTTGTTCTCAGACAGGAGCCTGTCTCAGGCCTTCAGTGAAACTCTAGAGCACTGCAGCTCCAGGCGCAGTGTGTTAACTGTAAACACAGCCAGAGGAGGCTCCGCTTCTCTGTTTTCCATCTGCAGGCGTAAAAGAGGACAAAACCAGGAGGAGCCTTACGTCACGTGTAACTGATCACATCACTGACGTTCATGAGATCCAGGCAGAAACACAAAGTAAGCGTGTTTTAGTCAAATGAGGACATTCATAGTTGCTGTGTGACATTTTTATTCTAATTCACTCTCAGTGAGCTAAAGTTTCCTCATGAACCATGGGAGGTCTTCATTGGATGTTGTCTGACTGGTTAAGTCTGAGTGAAGCATCACCAGCGGGTTGAGCACACGCGTGGCTACAACTCTAACTAAACATCACAGATGATTCGCTCAAGTTCAGTAGCAGCTGGCTGAGAGTCATTTACAACATAAACAGTTTCTGTTTTTGTCACTTAAAAGTTTTAGATCAGCAAATAAACGTCCATGTCAGAGACAACCTGAGTTTTCATTTATGGATAAGAAGCTATCTTTAAAAAATGACCCCTCCCCTGTTATATCATGAACTATATTATTTGGAAAGCTGAGTTCAGTCCCACCAGCATCGCCAGACCTGTGAAAATAAGAACTCACTCCAGCAGAGCTTGTATGACAACATGAAGGAAGTAGTGTTGTGTACTGATAAAACCAAAGTGAAACTCTTAGTGAGTGGTGAAGAAGCCTTTTGGATGCGAGGCAAAGCACAAGATGTGGGCAGCAGCAGCTCAGGAGGTACAGCGGGTTGTCCAGGTTGGAAGGTTTTAGGTTCAATGCTGGCACCTGACAGAGAATGTTTCTGTTGTGTCCTTGGGCAAGACACTTAATCTGCCTTGCCTGCTGGTGGTGGTCTGAGGGACCGGTGGCGCCTGAGTTCAGCAGTCTTAACAACAACAACATGACATCAAGTCCTCTCATCATGGAGAGGAGGGAACAAGGAGTGGACAGTAGAGAGGGGGACGGGTGCTAGTTTAGAAGATGCTCTCTGAAGAGCAGGGTCTTCAGGAGTTTCTTGAAAAAG